TGCTGTGGTATATTAAAGCATTAACGTCAAACACTAAGAATAAACTGTACTTCTTAGGTAGTAACTATACAACAAGAAAGAAGACACAGCTATTTTAGGCTCTTAAAGTAGAGGGCAACATTGTCAGAATAACAGACAACTCCTTTTTACTGTCTTCTGTTGTCTTTCTACCCCAAGTGTGGTCCATGTACCAAAATCAGCATCACCTGAGAGCTTGTTAAAATGCAGGACTACAGGTCCCAACCTGAACCCACTGATCAGAATCTGGATTTGAATAAGAAGCCTACTCCATTCATATGCCTATTAAGAAGCCCTGCTCTATTTGCAACCCTTTTTACCACATTAGGCAAAATCAGGTTTTTAATAAAAAGTAAACTAAAATATTAAGTAATGTTGTCTAAAAAGCATCTTTTAAAAGTTACAAATAGTGCAAGTTAATAAAATGTAATGGTATGATTTAGTAGTAGGCAGTACGTTGACAAGTATTTTCAGTAACGTTCCTTGTATTTTACATTTTCATAAAAAAATGTTGGGAGAAAAGTTATAAATATTATAATCATGTTTTCTGAGTACATCCTCTATAAGGCAAATCAAGAAGTCTGGTTAGAGAAGACCAGTAAAAAGAAGACAAAAACCAAACTTTTCCCAGTCTCTGGGACCTGGGAATGGATTTGAATGCAATCTCAATTCAATCTAATTCACTTCTCAATATAGAAGTGCTATATACCAACTTCCTCAACCTAAAATCAGGCTTTAGAATGAGATATTTGTACTATAATCAAACTATAGAAATTCAGCTTTTAATCCCTCCAAAAAAGACTTAAAATAGAATTCATTGTTTCTTCAGTGTGTATCAGATTTGTACAATCAGGAAGCAGTACATATGATCTTCCACTAGCGAAACAGACATATACACTAGCTGAATGATGGTTTACTTTAAAATTTTTATCCCTTTATAAATTCAGTGAAAGTTACAGAATACCTGTTTTTATGTTTAAACATGTAATGAGTTGTTCATCAGTCTTCTTACTAGCATTACAGAAGTTAAATTCCATAAAATTGGTTTTCTGGGTCACAGGTACATGTTACTAGCAAAGCCCAAAACAAACGTTCAACTTGTATGGAATATAAAATTGATCAATTTCTCAGTATATGAAAATTATATTCCATCATATCGTTATATATTCCTTTCTAGAATTTTTTCCTATATGTTAAACTCTCATTTCATACAAATAGGTTAAATAATGTCAACTGAAATTATTTTAACTAGAGAAAAAGTCACTTTCAAAAAGGATAATTTTTGAAACAAAATTGAGTTAATATGCCATTAATTTTTGTCAGAACAATACAGTAAATGAATAACTGAGAATTTCAATTTGCTTTCTAAATATCCTTTTGCTTTAATGAAAACTTTCTCCAAAAATAAATATATCTTAAAAAAAATTCTACCAAAAGGGGTATGGGGGGATGGGGTGGCTGGGTGATGGCCACTGGGGAATCGGATATGTGTTGTGGTGAGTGCTGTGTATTGTGTAAGATTGACGAATCACAGACCTGTACCCCTGAAACAAATAATACATTATATATTAATGATAAAAGAAAATTTTAAAAATTCTACCAAAATAAAATTCTTCAAACATAATAAAACTTAATCTAGAAACACATGGCATAATACCCTTCAAAACACTTCTAAAATAGGAATCAGTATTTGTTCCCTTGTTCTTTGACTTTATAAATATAAGTTAAAAAAAAAAAAATCCCTGTATTTCTTGAATGCTTAATGTTAAGATGTGCTGAGTTGAAGAGAAATATTCAATGTGGAAAGAAACCAAAGCCAAAAGTAATACCATGGACATTGGATTAAAAAATGCTGCCTTTCATATCCTTAACTAGAACATTTACCAAATAAACATTGTTTTTTCTATTTTAGCATAATGAAAGAAAAATTAAGTTACATTAAATGATATAACAGTTATGCTATCAGGTATGTACATTTATCAATGTTCTTGCCTTCCTACCCTCAAAATGATGTTACCAGAATGTTAGCAAATTATGATAATTAAAATTTTTTGATATAGGTTTACTGAGAACAGATTCATATTTATTACAATTTTACCTACCTGTCTTGTCTTTGCTGATGTTTCAATAAAAGGAATTCCATAACTTCTTGCTAAGTCCTGAGCCTGTTTTGTGTCTACTGTTCTAGAAGGCAAATCACATTTATTTCCTACTAGGACCATAGGTACATCTTCAGAGTCTTTAACTCTTTTTATTTGTTCTCTGGGGAGGGAAAAAAGAAAAACACATTACAGCAGAGACATTAGTAACAAAATATATCTTTCGAAAATTGTCCATAATTGTCTTATAAAATATGGCTGAAAGAAGACATTTAATATAATCTCTAGTTTCCAACCACACCAAATTTTCCTTGCTTCTCCTATTTATTTTTTTCTTCAATTTAAAGAGAGAATTTCTATGTCCCTTAAAAGATAAAATACCAAAAAAATATGGTAAAACTACAACCTAATAGGTCCATATGCAGGTAGGTCACAATGATAAAACAGAAAATATTGAAAAAATTCTAGGCTAAAAATGTGCTGTGCCTAACTGTTAAAATTATAATCTTAGGAACATATACTATGTTATTAAATGTACATGTATTTATTACAAAAACATGTAAGGATTACAACACTGACATAATTTTCACGTATCTTTCTCAAAAAGGAGAGAACCAAGTGGAAAGATTCTGATTTGTATGTGGATAACACTGACATTACTACACTGTTTATTCTGTTAAAAGTCCTTCTACATGTTGATTTTTTTCAGTAAGATGTGCATAAACTCTAAATTTGGGGCAAAGTTATATTCTTTTACAATTTTAGGTGAATTTCAAAGACAGAGCATGGAATAAGTAGTAGAGAATGGAGTAAGAACTGGTTCAAATTCCCAGTTCCTCTACTCAATAGCTAAGTAACCTTTATAGCTTAACATACTGACACCTATTTACCATTCTACAAAAACACTGTCATGTCACCCATTCAAATTTTTCTCTATCACTAGACTACAAAGAAAACATGCTGTAAGAAATGTATTAAAATGTTACTAACTCATTGTTATAGAACATAGCTAATGAATGGGATATTTAATATGCACTTTGAAAAGAAATAGAATATAAATTATATTTAATACAATAACAATTATTTTAAAGTAGTCAATTTTATGCAGATTTGCCAGATTCTTTAAAAACTGTAATTGTTCCAGTATTTCAATCTTTTACAACTTGAGAGTTTGTTTTTCTTAACTATCTAAAGCCAATGTTTATCCAGTTCCAAGAAATTCTACACTATACTCGATTATTTTTAAGGCCATTTCAGTGGTACTACCTCCATTACCTTTTCATATTTTTGTTGATGGTATTCATTTTTATGATGGCTCTAGCTTAAAGCCTTGCAGTGGTTAACAGCACAGGTTTTGAATTCAAACAAGCCTAGGTTTCAATTCCAGCACCACTATCTATGCAATCTGGAACAAGTTACTCAACTGTTCTAATCCTCAAGAACTTCATTTGTAAAACAGGGATATATTACCTACCTCATTATTATTTTAAAATTCAGATTAGATAATTTATGCATGGTAGTCAGCAAAGACTCAACAAATGAAAGATATAATTACTCCTCAATGTCATCTTACTATATTCAATTTAAACCCACCTATAATGGTGAATATCTTCAAAAGATTTAGTATTATTTATGGCAAATACACAAAGAAAGCCCTCCCCAGTCCTCATGTACTGGTCCCTCATTGCACTGTACTCCTCTTGACCTGCTGTGTCGAGAATATCCAAGAGACAGGTTTCTCCATCAATTACTACTTGTTTCCTGTAGGAATCCTAAGAAGGGAGAAACACAGTCTGGATTATTATGGTGCACCTTTTACTTTTAAAAAGGTGTTATATGCAACCCAACAACAAAAAGACAACCCAATTCAAAACGGGGTAAAGGACCTGAATTGACATTCCTCCAAAGAAGATAAACAAATGTCCATTATGCAAATGAAAAGATGCTCAATACATCGTTAGGGAAATGCAAATCAAAACCACAAGGAGCTACCATTTCACACCCATTAGGATGATTATTATTTAAAAAAAGGGGGATGGGGGGAAGACAAGTGTTAGCAAGGATGTGGAGAGACTGGAAATTTTATACATTGCTGGTAAAATGGTACAGGCATTGTAGACAAGTTTGGCAGTTCCTCAAAAAAAATATAGAACTACCATATGATCCAACATTTCTGTGCCTACATATATAACCAAAAGAATTGAAAGCAGGAAGTCAAACAGATACATGTATGTCAATGTTCATTGCAGCATTATTTAGAATAGCCAAAATGTAGAATATATACACAGTGGAATGTTATTCAGCCATAAAAAGGAATGAAATTCTACATATGTTATAACACGGAAGAATACTGCAAACATTATGCCAGACACAAAAAAGGGCAAATAACTGTCATTCCACTTATATGAGGTACCTAAAATAGGTAATGTCATAGAGACAAAAAAGTAGAATAGAGGTTACCTGGAACAGGGGGAGAAGGGATTTGAGAATTATTGTTTAATGGACACAGGGTTTCAGTATGGGATGATGAAAAAGTTCTGGAAATAGAGCTACTGGTTGCTCAACATTGTGAATTTACTTAATTCCACTGAACTGTACACTTAAGAATGGCTGCGATGATATATAAGATATATAAGATATATGTATATATCTTACCACAATTTTAAAAAAAGGTTTCCAAAAAAGTGTTATGCAGAGATTCAACAATGCAAGTGTTCATATTATTAACAAAAAGACCCAAATGCTCTATGAAAGAAAATAATTATTACAAAAATGGGATAGCTCTACCAACTCTATTATTCAGAATAGGATGATTTAAAATGGCAAGAAAAATCAATCAATTTACAAATAATTGTCATGCATCTATTTTACTTACAGTCAGAAGAATATATAAGAGAAAGGTCAATACTGAGGACTTTAATGCACTTATCCATTTCTGAATCCTGGGAAGAATATGTAACAGCCAGATGGATACTACGGTAACTCTAGAGGGCATGACTGTTTTATCCGCAAATTCTATGGGGCTTCTATAAAAGGGGGAGCAAGGAAGGGAGAAAGAGATGGATATCTTAAAGAGACTGTGCAACTCTAAACCTTAGTAAAAGGAAAGGGAGTGGGTAACATTATAGAATCTTAAAATGAAAATGTGATTTTCCTCTGACTTTTGATTAATACTTATTCCTAAAAGACTTCATGTACTCTCTGCCAAAACAGGACTCAAAAAAGTAAGGAAAAGGGATGGTGCAATGTGAAGTCATGGAATAAGAGGCAGGGCTAAAAATGGGTATAAAGTATAAACCAAGGACACTTCCTTATTGTTCCACATGTAGGCTATAGTATTAAAGTGCCCTTAGTTCAGGAATTACTGCATAGACTACTCTTATCATTAAGAAAAAAAAAACGGTCATTAAAAATCATATTTTTGGTATAATATCTGAAAAATCTTTATAATAGAACACAAAGATATATATGTAGCATGATCCCAAATATATGCATTTATCTATATAAATTTATCAGTATATATATTTAAAAACTGGTGGTATATACATCAAAATGCTAAAAGAGTAAGTTTTTGATAGAATTAATTTAGGAAATAAGTAACTTATATCTTATCTTTTTATTTTTTTGGTACTAGATACTATATTAAAAATATTCCTTTCTATGAATTTTAATTTTTAAAAGTGCAAAAAACTACCATATTAGACTATGATCTCATGCTTATCTTTTAAAGTAAACTATACTTTCTAAATTGTCTATAATAAAAATTAATTATCCATCAGTCAGAAAAAAAGGATATCTATTTACTTTCTAAACAAGAAGGTGTTTACTAAAGATTCGAACATTTGGTTGGCATTTTATTATTTTAACCTATTCCCTTAAGTACTTAAAAGAACTCCTGTATATTATAAATTGAAAACCAGTGTTTTTGAAGTATGATGGAACAGCAGGAATTGAAGCAAAGTACAGTGTCTTAAAGTCAATCCATTCATTACCCAGGTGTAGCTATAGACCAAAGACTTTCTTTACCTATTGCTGTCACCTCACATTCTTCACTTACCAATGCCAACTTAAGTTAACCTTACAGTTGATAGTTTCCTTAGTTTTTACATCTAAAATTTTCTCCCAACAATAAAATTAAAGACCATAGTTTCTGGAGCCTAAGGCGTGGCTGGGGGATTACTCACTATCCACCCACATATAATACCTCCAAGATGTACCTCAATGAATTCCCATTTACAAAATTTTGAAACACTGTGTTCCAAAAGTATATAATGTGGAATATTAGTATTTTCTTTGTATATTTCATAACATGTTTCCATGATGAATATTTTCTCCATCAAAGGAACTGAGAAACTGGAAAAACAGTCCTTATTCACCAGTACATTTCATTCCCATTATCTTTTCCCTTCTAAACCCTAAAAAAATTGCCAGCAAAGTTCTGAGTCACACTCGGTTATTGAAAAAAGTAATCTAAACCTACGTATGGGTAGTGAGTAGAATACCCTGATTAGAAATAATAGTTTTAGTTTAAAAATTCAGTATTTCCAAAGTTAATTCTAACTAGAGTTATCCTAGAAGTGCAGTCACTGAGCTACATAAAAAGGCAATACAACTTGGTAAAAGCTTAAGAACAAAGTGTTAAATGGCAAAATATTATCTGAAAAGAACGGACATGTGTGGTGACAAAGCAGAAGGCAAGCACAACAAAAATGACATATAAATACTAAAGATTTTGTTCTAACTTCAGGTTAGCTGTAAGAAAAGAAGTATATGGAAGTAGAAAAAATTTACATCAATGTAGACTCTTTCCCAGGATCAGAGTCTAAATAAGGGTTCAGCAAACTACTGGCCCACAGGCCAAATCCTGCCCACCTGTTTTTGCATGGCCCACAAACTAAAAACAGTCTTTGTGTTTTTAAATGGTTATTTAAAAAAAAAAAAAAGGCAAAGATTATGTGATGAAGACCTTTACAGAAAATGAAATGTGGTCCTTTGCAAAAGAGTTTGCCAACCCCTGCTCTAAGCTAATAACTTTTCACAAATCTGAAGCATTATCAATACATGTTATTTATTCTTTTTACACTTAAAAAAAATCACCACTTTGAGAAAGTACAGGTTATCAAAACCCAACCAATTTAAATACACATAGATTCTATAATGAAACTAGTTAAGAATGAAGCAAGAAAAGGATCAAGACTTTTTTTTTTTTTTTTTTTTTTTAAGTAAACTCTATGCCCGATGTAGGGCTCAAACTCAGGACCCTGAGATCAAGAGTTCCATGTGCTACCAAACTGAGCCAGCCAGGAGTCCAAAGACCTTACATTTCTAATTAGTATTATTTCCAGACTTTCAAATGGAATAAACTTTTAGATCGGGTACATAGGTTACTAACGTTCTTTGCAAAAGAGGATAAAGCCACTTAAATTAATTCAGTATAACATTAATTGAAGGAAAGTTATTCCACATATTTTCCTTTACTCCCAGCTAAAGTGCTATTTTTTAATTTGCTGAAGTGGTTAAAAAACAAAACAAAACAAAACAACCTTTCTTTTTATTTTTTTTTTTAAAGAGTTTATTTATTTATTTGAGAGGGAGAGAATGAGAGACAGAGAGCACGAGAGGGAAGAGGGTCAGAGGGAGAAGCAGACTCCCTGCTGAGCAGGGAGCCCGATGCGGGACTCCATCCCGGGACTCCATCCCGGGACTCCAGGATCATGACCTGAGCCGAAGGCAGTCGCTTAACCAACTGAGCCACCCAGGCGCCCACAAAACAACCTTTCTAAAAGAAATATACCATGCTGGCAAAAGTTAATCTTGATAGAGCACAAACATTTCTGGTGATACAATAAAAACAGGCACAATCCTTTCGGAAAGCAATTACAGTATTTATCAAGAATCATACAATGTTCATAGCCTTGGACACTGCAATGCTACTTCTGGTAAACGATGCTGAGGAAACATGGTTTTATCTTTTTTAAATGAGTTATAATAGAGATATACTAAACGTGGCATCCTAAAAAAATTACATAGGCATTTAATACTGACCCACAATATTGCTATTTATCTATTTTCAAAATATACTTCACATCCAAGCATCCACCACCACCACTATCACCCTAGTTCACGACAACTGTTTTGTCTCATGCAATTTCTTACAACTGCTTACAACAGAGATCCCTATTGTTACTCTTGTATGTTCTCCACAAAGCAGCTAGTGATCATTTTTAAACGTAGGTTAGACCATGTCACTCGCTTGCTTTAGGACTTCTAGTAACACCCCTTCCTTTTTAAAAATAAAATCCAAAGAAGTTACCAGTCTTCTTCAGCACGTCTGTATTTCCTTCACAGAATGTATTATAATATATAACTCCGGTTTAAGTGTATACCCCCTACTATGCTGTGAACTCCATGATGGTTGGGCTCACATCTGCTCTGTTCACTGTACACCCTATGTGTAAAGTCTTGAATACCACAGGCAACCAGTACTGTCTGATGAATAAATTCAACATAAATATATGCTATATATATAGAAGTTATTAAACTTCTGTAACAGTCTTAAAGAAATAAGCACAGGTTTAAGATATTGTAAATTATATTAAAACAATGAAGTTGTAAATTTTAAAATTATATTAAGAGTATTTTAACAAATGTATTCAAGCAAGTTTTATAGGATATGAAACCTTTAATGTAAAAATATAAACAAAACATGAGAAAAATTTAAAAAACATTTTTGGGAGGAAAGAGTAAGATTGCAGAGACCACAGGGGCTTTCAACTGCATTAAGTTTTATATCTTGAAAAAGAAAAAGGATCTACACCAAATATTGCAGAATGTGAAGATATGAAAAAGCTGGTTGGTGCATACATGATGTTCATTATATTAATTTTCCATATGACATTAAGAATGTACCAATTTCATTACCACTCACTAGCAATGGATTTTATGTTTATTTTTCTTTAAATTTTGTCAATTTATTAAGCTAAAAATTCTTATTGTTTTAATATCCATTTCTTTGAGGACTGTTACTTTTTTTTTCATATTTCCATATTTATTCCCATCACCTGGAATTTTCATCTTTTCTGCACTGACCTGTATAATTTTTTAAAGTGTTTTCCAGTTTATTAAGACACCTTTAAAGGGGGGAACCTGGCTGGCTCAGTCAGAAGAGTATGTGACTCTTGATCTTGGGGTAGTGAGTTCGAGCCCCACGTTAGGTTAGAGATTACTAAAAAAATAAATTAATTGAAAAAAAAAAACCACACACCTTTAAGTGTTGTTTTATATACAGAAACTTATCTGTAGACCCAATTAGAGGAATTTGAAAATTAATACTAAATCGTTCAAGACGAGATAAACTTGTTGACCAGGACATCACTTTGTCAATTTTCTATTATAATTAATAGTAACCAAGTCACTCAGTATGTTCATCTTTTCACAGACTCAAGTTTGTTTTTCAACTCAGGCAGTGAAACCCTGAATGGGAAGACACTACAGTAAACAAACAAAAATGGTATGTCAGATGCTGTGATAAGCATATTACAAGTATTATCCCATTTAATCTCCATCTTCATGCTGCTGATTCCATCAGATGCTCTTGTAAATATGAATAGGACTGCTGAAAATGTCAGCTAAAGCATTATTTGAGGATTTACTTTTGAAATGTTTGTAAGGTTTTCTTAATGCATTAAGTGCCATGACTACTTTTCATGTATTGCTAAATATAATAACACCTACAGGAAAAAAGGAGAAACTCACTTTTACTCTCTTAATGCTCAAGTATTTTGTTACTCTTCCAAAAAATTATGTTAATCCATCACAGAATGATATGTTCCACACTACTGGTTATAAGCCATCAAAGGCTGTTGTAGACAGCTACTTTTTTTTTTTTTAAAGATTTTATTTATTTGACAGAGAGAGACACAGCAAGAGAGGGAACACAAGCAGGGGGAGTGGGAGAGGGAGAAGCAGGCTTCCCACCGAGCAGGGAGCCCCATATGGGGCTCGATCCCAGGACCCTGGGATCATGACCTGAGTCAAAGGCAGATGCTTAATGACTGAGCCATCCAGGCGCCCCTAGACAGCTACTTTTCAAAGACAGCTAGAATCATGTATAATAGCCAGATATGTCTGAATTATAATAGGAAAGAAACATGGAATTTGGTAGATACAAACCCAGGCTTATTAGTTCATTCCCACCTACCCACTCCATTCTCCCTTGCATCATAGGGACACTTACTAAACACCTACTAAGTGTTATATACCATGCCAGGAGTCATAAAGTTTCTGACTTCAAAGAGCTAGGTCTGGCAAAAGAGATATGATATACAAATAATTAAAATACAATAAAATATTGTATTGAAATAAATGCAACACCATATTCAGGACAAAGTACAATGGTGGCAACAGGAAGGAGAGATCAACTCTGCTTAAAGGGGTTAAGAAACACAGGGGAGGAGAGGGCCACTTGAGGTGATAAGGAGCAAAAAGAACACATAAAAACATGAAGCATATGTTGAGTACATGGAACCAAGAAGTTCAATACAACTTTAACTTAGAGGGATTTTAGGTAAGTAGAAGTGAAACTTGACAATCAGGCAGAAGTCAGCTTATGGAGGGTCTTGTATGCCACATTAAGGAATTTGGAACTTCATCTTATACTAAACTACTAGAAGGTTTTTAAGTAGGAAGGAAACATCAGATTTACCAGATTCACTGTTAGCATTATTATGAAAAATTATAGAAAGGGAGCAGGTTGGAGGCTGGAAGATGAGTTAAGAAGCTATTACAAGAAATGATAGAACTTGAAGGCAGCAACAGCAGTAGAGAGGGAGAACATTAGTTAAGAGAAATATTTAACGGGGAAAACTGGCAGAACTACCTTATACACTGCTGGTGAGAATGTAAACATTGCAAGCACCGTGGAAGCGTCTGACAGCTGCTCAGAAAGTTAAACATAAAGGTACCACGTGGCTTTGCAATTCTACTTCTAGATACATACCCAAGAGAACTGAAAATACATGTTCACCCAAAAAGTATACATAAGTGTTTACAGCAACATTATTCAAAACAGCCAGAAAGAGGAGACAATCTAAATACCCATGAACTGATTGATAAACACAATATGGTATTATCCATACAAAAGAATATTATTCGACCATTAAAGGAATGAAGTGTTGAACTTCAGGATGAACCCTGAAAACATTATCCCACATGAAAGAAGCCAGACCCAAAAGGTCACATATTGTATGATTCCAATTATATGAAATATTCAGAAGAGGTGAATCCACAGAGACAGAAAGTAAATTACTCGTTACCAGGAGTGGCAGAAGAGACTAGGGAGTGAATGCTTATGGGTACGGGGCTTCTTTTCAAGGTGACAAACATGTTATGGTCGTTTGTGAATATACTAAAAACCACTAAACTGTATATTTTAAAAGGATGAATTTTATGCTATATGGATTTTATCTCAATTTTTTTAATGGCAGTTTACTGACTGGGCATAGGAACAGAGGGTAAGAGTAGAGGAAAAGATGAGTTCAATTTGGGGCAAGTCGAATTCCACGTTTATGGGTTGTTCTGGTGGCCATGACCTGGAGGCAGCTTGCTATACAGATCTGGCGCTCAGGACAGAAATCTAGGCTAAAGATATACTCCTGAATTGTCCATCTAGGGGCAGCTGCAGAACTCCACTTACTTGTGGTATGAGTGCGGGCAAACTACTTTAATGTCTCATGTACTGTAAGCCATTGTTCCTTCAGCGGTAAAAGTAGGTAAATAATACCATACAGGATTTTGCATAGCTTAGGATTAAAGACTATGAAAATCCTTTATAAAATGAAAAGTGCTATAACAAGTTAACTGTATGATTTTATATATTACATTGCACATGCTATTACAGGCCAAAAAGGTTAGGGGCTAGGCCACTGGCTACTATGAACTACACGGCAACAGTAGTATCCTGTCTTTATAAGATCACTGAACAACTACACTTGGACTACTTTTTGCAAAACTGGTCACCATATTTCAAAATAAATACAATGGTGCTGGACAAGCTCCAGGGAAGGAGAGCTAAAACTCTGAAGATTACAAAGGATCTCTGTTTTGATTAAGCAGCAAGGGTGTTAAAAGAGCTTGTTCTCATGACAGAAGTTTTGATTAAGATATTCATTAATAGTAAAAATAAAGAAAACAAAAATTTCTTTACTAAATAAATACTTCATGAGAATGTTGAATCTTCACTTAAGACTAGAGAGAATAAAATGTGTACTACTTGCAAGAGATAAAACTGATTCAAAAATCTGAATAAACTCAAGGAAAATCTGCATAACAGATTTTGAAAATAAAGATATAATAAGCATACATCTGTAACTACTGAAGTCATGTGGCATTCTGCCATAAATTATCACTCGATGCCAAGGTCAGAATGTGAGGCAGGATCGAGCATGGATCCAATCTTAAAACTACAGATGCCAATAAAATTTTCATGTTTTGTTATTATATCTCTCTCAGCTCTTCTTTAATTGGCCTAATACCAAATTCTTTATCCAAGATACCTCTGCATTGTCCAATCTGTTGAGGCTTTAAAAAGGGGAAGAAAGTAAATATGAAGTAATCTAATGGTAGATAATATGTTAGTGACTTTTCTCCCTCAAAAATGAGTATTTACTTTTCCCTCTCAGAAAGTATTATGCTCATTTTTAAAAACCAAATACTACAGAGATGAGTCTGACTAAACTACCATATTTTATGTACATATTCACAGTTTTATATAAATGGAATCAAACTCTACACAATGTACTATGATGCAGCTTCACTTACATAATGGGTATTTTTCAATGTTAGTACATGCAGATCTACCTACTCTTTTTGACAATGATATAATTTGTATAGATATATCATAATTTACTTTACCCATTGGTAGCCATGCGGATTATTTCCATTTTCAAAAGTCATAAACAACACTGCAAGAAACATTCCTATGTGTTATACATCTTAAACATTTATCCAGTTGAATGGTTGGGATAAATTCCTAAAAGTGAAATTACTTGGTCAAAGAACATGCAGTTTACATTTTGATACATACTGCCAAACTGACTTCCAGAACGTTTATAAGAAGGTACACTTCCACTACCTCATTAAGAGTACACTTGCCTACACACCCTTCCCAGCAGCCAATATCAAAGTGAAAAATTTCATTGTTTTGAACTTGCATTTTTATATTAATAAAGTATCTTTTTATATGTTTATATGTCATTTGTTTTATTTATTTTTGATGGATAGGTTGTCTATTTATATCCTTAGCTTCTTTTTTATTCCATTTGGATGTTTGCTTTTTTCTAATTTATATATGAGAGCTTCCTGATGGATATATGATGCAAATACTTTTCCCAGGTTTCCTTGTATTTTTAATGATGTCTTAATTTTCATATACCCAAATAGCTCAATCTTTTCCTAGATGTTTTCCTAAGTGGTTTATGAATATTTTGAAAATGGAAAGGATCCCTACTTTTGTCAGTGAAGAAAAATGTTTAATCCCAATTCCATGAATACAGAAGCTAACCTAATGTTAACTCACTTGATCTGTATTACTTAAGATAATACTGCAAGAAAAGAATTGAAGACTGATACTTTATTTCAACAGCTGTCTGATATTTAACAATGAAATGTATACAAGGTAGAACCAGGGTTCTCACCATGGGAGAAAAAGATAATGGAGGAAGGTGAGGAAGAAGGAACTCATGATTTTTAAATAAAATATATTTCTCAGTTCTGTCTGTTGAAAGGGTCTAGAAGCAGTGACACCCCAGTAGCAATAAGCATACCTAACATCTAGGTCTTTTTTTATTTTTTTAAAGTAATCTCCACACCCACAGAGGCAGCCAGGTACCCCTCTAACATCTGGGTCTTAATTTCTAAATACCATTCCCCACCAAAAGGAATCAGGACTCTTAGGACAAATGGCTGAATCCAGGGTGAAGACACGGAAAGTACAACATGCACCTGGAACACACTGTGCCGGAAAATAAGAAAGAGCTCAGAATCTGATAGAGACCTGTCAAAAGGATACAGAGGCCAGCTTGAAAGGGATTCATTGGCCATATCAAAAACAAATCTGAGGGGCGCCTGGGTGGCTCAGTCATTAAGCATCTGCCTTTGGCTCAGGTCATAATCCCGGGGTCCTGGGATGGAGCCCCATATTAGGCTCCCTGCTCAGCAGGAAGCCTGCTTCTCCCTCTCCCACTCCCCCTGCTCATGTTCCTGCTCTCGCGTGGTCTCTCTATTAAATAAACAAATAAAAATCTTAAAAAAAAAAAAAAAACAAATCTGAGATCAAAAAATAAAGTACAGTAATAGACTTGAATATGTTGAATAAAAAAAGAATCCATGTGTCCACACTAATACAAATAAGAAAAAAACAAACAAGGGGAGAGAAAAGAGAGAGCCCTTATTTATGGATGTTGGGGCACCTGGCTGGCTCAGTCAGTTAAGCGTCTGCCTTCGGCTCAGGTCATGATCCCAGGGTCCTGGGATCAAGCCCCATGTTGGGCTCTCTCTGCTCAGTGGGGAGTCTGCTTCTCCCTCTCCCTCTGCCCCTCCCCCTGCTTGTGCTCTCTCTCTCTCTCTCTAATAATAAATAAATAATCAATCTATGGTAGATGTTAACTAGTAAGTATAGAAGTAATGATAGGGTTATAAGATGACCTACCATTCTGCAACCACTATTGTAGTAATTTATTCTGGCAAGGATTATCATGGACGCTGTATCCCACTGAGTGCAAGTATGTTGGAGAACAGGATAGTTTATAGTCTCAAAGCATCTCCCCTTAGGGTACATACTAAAGAAAAAGAAGATACCTTTACATCGACAGAAAACTGATAGACATCACCTTAACCAAATAATCAATGTAACCTGTTTAACGCTAACAGATATTCACAGTATTACTTTTCACTACTTTTCCATAGGTCGGAAATTTTCAAAATAAGAAGCTGAAAAATTACCTAACATAAGCACTGTGTCCCTATTTAATCCTCTCAAATATTTTATTTTTACTACCCATTTCTACTAATTTTATTAAGATTACAATAATATAATTGCCTATAAACCTAGGCACCCTGTGACAATATAGTTAGAGGAGATGCAAGAAATCTAATGCCCTCCTAAAGCACAAAGCCTCTAAATTACATTAAATAGAATTAGAATCATTGTCCAGAAGCACGCTCTTCAAAATACATTTAAGGCCAGAAAGCTTCATGAAGGCAGTGCGATCTGGTCCCTTTTGCTTCTCAAAGTATCTCCAGCCCCTAGGAAGCCTGTATGGTAGAGTGGGCACTGAATAATTATTATGGAATTAAGGAATTAGTCGTGTTGTTAAAACCAGAATCTTGTTAAAACCAGAATCTTTTAAGAGATGCCAAATCATAAAAATATTTTTTTCCTTTCACTTATTTCTGTTACCAACTTTCACTTCTATGTTTGTAAAGCTTTGTATTTATAAAAATTCAAGTAAGAATAAAACATGTCTGATAATTTTTAACATTCAGGTCTCAATAAGCAGTTATTATTATTAAATACTTATTCTTAAATTGACCTAAACACAAGGCCTGCATTTTGTGTTACTTTATTCTAAAAATCAGGTGCTCACAACTATTCTACAGTACTATAAAAAAAAATCTATACGATGTGAACTGTCACAATTACCACTTTCCAATAGGCCCTTTCCTAACACCCCATGTAACACATCACTAAGCTTTGAAGTCTGTAGCGTAGCTCCTATGTGCATGGAAAGAAATTCAGAGTCAAAGTGCCACTTTTTATTCCCATTCCCTCAAAGTAACCTCAGTAAGGGTTAACAACGGAACCACCCCATTTTCTCCTTCACTGCCACATTTCCTTTCTTAGTTAAAAATATTCACCTATGTATTTAATTAGTTAGGCCTAACTAGTTCACACAGTAATCTTAATAGTAGCAGAGAATAAAACTGATGCTTTAGATTTTTAAAAATTATATAAAATCAGACTTCTAAATAAAACTGACTTATTTATAAACTGATCATACCCACAGTTTAAGTAGGAAAAATACCCAAACCTGGTATTTCATTGTTACTTATTATAAAAGCAAATAAATTGACCAGTAGAGGGCACTCACTTGAAAGGGGGGGAAGAGCTGGCCAAAGCCTTGAGAAATGCATTTACAAAATTACTGTGTACTTTATTTTAAAAACAATGTTTTAATAGAATGCTAGAATCAGCTAAAATAATATACTATTAGTTTAGAAAAGGTAAAGTTTAAATCTGTGCTATGTTAGAGTATCTATCATAAACCTTATTCAGAGACTTCAAGTTGACAGAGATGTTGAAAGCTTTATATAACACATAGGAGGGTCTCAACCTCAGCACTACGGACACTTGAGGCCAGCTCACTGTTGTGGGAGCTATCTTGTGCACCGCAGGAAGTTTAACAGCGTCCCTGCCTCCACAGGTGCCAGTAGCAGTGCCCCTTCTCAAGACGTAACAACCAAAAATATCTCTAAATATTGCCAAATGTCCCCGGGAAACAAAGTCACTCACCCCTCATTGATAACTACTGCTACATTAAATATAAGACCAGAAAAATAACGGCTTTCAACATTATACAATGCTTTCTTTTCTCACACCATTCTTCAATACTGGTTTAATAGTACAAATGATCTAGCTACTACACCTTATTCAGCAAGTAAAATAAATTCCATAGTTAACATGAAAAAGTAAAAAGAGAAACTGATAAATCTTGAATAAATACTCCACAGCTCAGAGCAATAAAGATGGAACAAATCAATCCAATCAAGAATCCATCATCCTTACTGAGTAGGAAACTTTCATCGAAGAAGGGCATAATACTTAGACTGAACTATAAGTGTCACATTAACAGAACTCTTCTGGAACTCTTTGGTGAACTTCACAAAAGATAAAGGTAAAATGTTTCAAAACAGAAGCTGATTATCATGTACACAGCCTCAAATATAAGCATGATCTATCTATGCATCATGCCCGTTTAATTTTATATCATATCTCTGCCATTAAGATGCCACTGGAGAGGAAGCTAAGTTCAAATTTTGGTATATTGATAAATCTGAATCAGCCTCCAATATTAAATATCTTCCTAGCTTAAAGACTAATTTCTCATTTTTAAACTTGTGTATACAAGGGTACAGTGGAAATCCCACTTAACTTGGTCTCAGAAAACTTAAAAGTCCACTATTTACTAGCTAAGTATTCTCAGGCAAGTTATAACCTCTGAGAGACCATTTTTATCTATAAAATGAAAGAAACAATGACCACCTTCTTTATCTACCTCCTAGTATAAATCTTTGTAAATTCTAAACCACTAGAAAATGGTATTCTTTAATTTTTAAAAAAATGTCTTTCCATTTGTTTTAGTTCAGGAAAACTGATGAGAATTCCAAATGTGCAGTCTATGTGCTCCTTCATTTTCTCTTTGACCTACATTATTCACCAATCAAAACCTAATAGCAGTAGTGATATCCCCAAATCTCCTTTTTAAACTCTTTTTATTACAAAAAATCAAGTCAGCATTTTTGCTTAACCACTGTTTATTAAAATAAGCTACTAAATTATCTTGTCTTTCTTGTAATTGAACTACACCAAGAATTTAATGTGTCAGTTCCCTAAGACTCACTGTAATTTGGAAGACAAGAGACAATCTCTGATAGTTTTTCCCGGATGGCTAAACTAGTGAGGGAATGTCAAAGTTTCAAAGTTCACAGGTAATCAGTGCTTCCCCAGAGTCAAGTCTTCTGCCCTGGCAGAAATCATAATCAGAGTTAGGGGTTTGAATTTATAAACTTTTTCTACCTTCACTCAAAGGATTAACTTTTGGCTTTATTTTAGATCTAAATTGTACTTTTAACAATTCTGACAGAAAGGCTTCCCAACATGTTTTATCACATTATCTCGTATAGCACACAGGAAACAGAGTGTAATGGAATCCCTTGGACTTTCAAAGAAGATGGAGAGCGCTTCTGCTAAAATCACCTTCCAAAATCCCAGGAAAACTTCCGTGTTTAACCGGAATTCTATTAAAACTTCCTTTTACTTCTGATTTAAATGGAGTATGCCAAGTAACCCTGGTTTTCGAATTGGGTGAACTATTTAATCCTCCTCAAAGAAAAAAAGAAAAAAACAAAACCATCATACAGCACCGAACTGACTTGTCAAGAGAAAATATAGAAGACTATTATACAGGTGGTCCACTTCAGTTAGACTCTTCCCCTTTCTTCATGCCAAATAAAAGCTGGCTAGATTTAAATCATATCTTTGCAAATAAGTGTCATTTCTCTCTTTTTTTCCTGCAGTACCAAAAATATTTGACATTTCCTTATGAAGCTGTCTAATCAATCCTCAAAGTTCTAACTGCATAAACATCTTGCCAAGGCCACCAATGCCCTCAGAATCTACCTCAATGCAGTCAAAGTGTTCTTGAAGACATCGTACAGCACAGTCCCTTAACAGGGCATCTTAACCTGTTCCAGATTCCACAGCGAGAGACTCAGAGAAAGTTCTGGGAAATTTTTCAGAGCTGATTAAAAAAATGATATGATCTGCAGACCCAGAATAAAAGCTAAGGGATTAGGACTGCTTAACCTGGGATAACAAGTCTAAGAAATAAACTAACAACATAAGTCTATTTCAAAGACAGGTGATATATTTATTTCCATCTCCACTGATGTTGCAGTTAACATATATATTCAGATTATGTGTAAAATACGTTCATAATTACAATCTGGAAGTGAGTTAACAAGGACAGTGATGTGCCATCCCCTCCTGCAGGTCTTTAGGATTAAATAAATCCTTATCTGCTTGAGATAATTTGAGTATAGCGCTGCCAGAAGGCAGTAGGAAATATTATGTGACCTCTCAAGGTCTCTTGCAGGCCTTTATTCTATTATTTTGCTGTTGGCCTTTACTTTGGCAATTTTTCATGAATTAAAAAAGTTTAAAAAATTATTTAGTAATCAATTTGTAATAAAAGCAATTCTAACATTTCTTTGAGTAAATTAAAAGAGGGCTGCAAAGCAAAGGTAGGGATTGATAGTGGTACCCTTATGTAGCACCTGATACAGATACAGATATAAAATACACAAAGAATGAGATTTTAAAATGTATCAGTAGCTAGCTATAGGTTCTCCCCTACTTCAATGTGAAAATGGAAAATGCTACTAATTAAGTGTTTTTTTATTTTTTTTTTAAGATTTTATTTATTTATTTGACAGAGAGCCAGCTAGAGAGGGAACACAAGCAGGGGGAGTGGGAGAGGGAGAAGCAGGCTTCCCGTGGAGCAGGGAGCCCAATGCAGGACTCGATCCCAGGACCCTGGGATCATGACCTGAGCCGAAGGCAGATGCTTAACGACTGAGCCACCCAGGTGCCCCTAAGTGGTTTTTTTAAAAACCAACCACCAAATGATTACATTTTACCAGTACAATTCAACTATAACCTGTATGTGACATTAAAATGGCAAAAAAGGGGAGCCTGGGTGGCTGAGATGGTTAAGCGTCTGCCTTCAGCTCAGGTCATGATCCCAGGGTCCTGGGATGGAGCCCCACTTCCCACTTTCGGCTCCTGGCTCAGCAGGGAGCCTGCTTCTCCCTCTCCCTCTGCCTCTCCCCCTGCTCATACTCCCTCTCTATCTCTGTGTCTCGAATGAATAAATAAAATCATTTAAAAATAAAATAAAATAGCAAAAAAACCCATAAAAATAGCCATTTTTTTTATGACTGTTTGAATTTGGAAGATGTAAATTCACATTTTTACCCTCTCACCGAACTCTGAAATACACTTAAAATTAAAAAACACATATACTAACATAGAACGAACATTATACATCTTAATATTCTCTAGAGAGAAGGGCTCTCCAAATCTCTGGTTGTATATATAACTTCAGAATGAAGCCATGGAACCCAAGTACATTTCGGAAAACTTGGTAAAATCATTTTCAGTATAACTGCCTTGTAATGAGTAGTCACAAAAAATGATCAGAGAAACCTCCTTTTTGTACCCAAAGAATGGGCCTGCACAAATCAATATGCATATTAAAATAAAATTTACCTCTATTGTAGGATCATATTCATCCACAAAGTGATTCTGAATTAGCTGTATCGTCAAGGCACTCTTGCCTACGCCACCAGCTCCAACTACCACAAGTTTATATTCAGTCATTTTCAGCAGGCCTTATAATAAAAATAATGAAAATGTGACTAAATTAGAACATGTGGTTAATATAAATTAGAACATGAGGTTAATATAACCCACTCTATCAATACCTTTTAACACAAATTCACCCTTATATAAAAAAATTATTTCAAAATGCTTCACCAAATTCAGTGATGAAAACTTCACTTGACTACAGATGAGTATTGTAATGAATTGCACTTCGTTTACAAACTCTCCCATCAACATTTGAGAAAAATGCATTCAGAGTACAAAGTTCTTTTATCTTATATTCAGGTTGTTCTATCTAAACAGCCAGTCTGCTGTTCTGTAGCAGTTAATGGCTCTCAAAGGAACATGCCATGACTTCACTCAGTAGAAGAGCCTATACCCTGTGGACACACCCACACAAAACTTGTTGACAGCTACCTCTACAGTATTCCTAGTTGACTCTGGCCCCTAAGAGTTACAAGTGGATACGCTGAGTGCCTTTGTCAGAGCCAACAGCTATAGAAAACTTTTTAAAAGCATCATCACAGCAGTTCTCCTGGAGTTAACAAGAGTCAGATGGGGGGCAAAGGGAAGACTGACAAATAAAGCTGGATTGTGTAGTGGGGAAATAAAAATTGAGACACCAAAGCAGATCTGATAACATTTCAATCTGTAAAATATCTGCTGGTGAAAATAATGGTGTATAAAAACTAAGAGAATTTTAAGAATTTTGAACTATTCAGTATGGGTGACTTCATCATCTGTCACAATATATAATCCTATATTAGTGCTGAGAAAAGCACTTTGCACCAGAAAAATTTAAGTATATAAAATTTAAAGATAAGCACTGCTTTTAATGAGAGGAATTTTAAAAGCTGTAAGTGAATACTTCTCAGCGACTTTTACTCTCTGCTTCTTGTACATAGTCTCTCAACAACTGAAATAAATATTGGCAACTTATAAGGTTGACAGCTCAAGACAGAAAATATTTTTTAATCAGCTGTTTCAAACTTTTTGAAATAAAGTGAATTTATTTAATTTTATCTTCTTCCCCCCCAATAACTACATTATTAAAAATAAGGATTGAACTGCAGAAAGAATGGCAGTAAATGCACAATAATTACAGGATAAGTCATTCTAAATTAATGAATGTGCAAATATAAACACTATAGTGCATGCAGTATTATATTAACTGAAGACCAAGAATTATCCAAATAAGCCCCCACAAAGAAAGTTCCAAATGATATCATACTAACCATTACTTCCTTACACTATTCCTGAGTCTTCTCACAAAGAACAGTTAGGCTAGACAACTGTTGTATCAAAGACTATTATATTACAGCCCCCTGGCCTATTTTGTGCCACCCAGCCTTATTTGCTAGGCCACCTTGCGAGCCTCTCCCAAGCATTTATCTTATCCTGTTCGCTCCCGCTTTTTTATTCCAAATACAGGCAATAGGAAATGGGGAACAATGAGGAGAATCACACCAAAATGTACTCTAGCTCCCTGCCTATCCCACCCCCTAAAACAATTTGGGTAGCCTAGAACAGTAGTTATCAAACTGTGGTCCAAGTATCCAGCAGCATTCCTAAAACTTTTGGGGGGTCCAAGAGGCCAAAACCAATAATACTAATACCATTACTACTGCAATGTTATTTACCCTTTCCACTCTTATTCGTTAACAAGTGTAGTTTTCCAGATGTGATCACAATAGAGTGCAGAAGCAGACACGCAGATGTCTTCTATTAAGCAATATAGTTAAAGAGATTAGCAAAAATGTGAAACAATGCCACTATTCTAATTTTTGTTTGTTTTGAAAAAGTCTTCATAAAAATGCTATTATGTTCCCAAGTAATAGGCTTATTATTTCTATTTTTAAATGAATTAATTTTGTAAATTCTCGGTTTTAATTTGTATTATGGTACTTATTGACATACCCCATATAGGGATCTTCAATAATTTTCAAGAGTATAAGGTGTCCTTGCAGCTAAAAAGTTTGCTAGCCTAGGAGATACAGTGAACAAGATAAGAGATTAGAGCTTAACTGTGTAAGTGCTGAGAAACACACACCTTCTGGTCTACCTGTTTACGCAGCTGTTCTTTCTGGAAAAAAAAAAAAAATCCCTGAATTATTTTAGAAACCAAGTAATATTTAAATCCACTGGAGAGAACTGGGTTCCCAAGGAGACTTACTGAAAATCATAGGCCAGAAAGAGCCCCCTCACCCAAAGCTAAGACAGCTACGGAGGGGTAAAGTGGGACTAGAACCCAACATTTTGTTAAGGGAAAAGGAAAACCACTTTTGTCATAAAACTGAATTATCCTCTCATCTACGGTCTCTAAAAATCAAGTATGCCTGAGGATGGCTACAGTCTCAAAGTAAACAGTATACTGGTATCAACCATATTTGATGTCTATAGTCTATCTCATGGTCGAGTCAGCATTTTGGACCTTAGTCACCTAAAGTGACATCACTCATATGGTTGATTCTGAGATGATGATTAGGAACAGAATTTTTCCCTTTGTAATTTCTTTTTCAACCATTACAAATAACACATATATTGTATAAAAACTAGAAAATACCTTTCTGTTTTAACCCTTGTTTTGATAAATGTCAAGATTTAAAAATGCTAGCTTAGGACTTCAACTAAAGCATGTACATGCCTAAGAGTATTTCAGGCAGTTGGCTGGAAGATTGCTACAATTAACTCCTCTTGCAAGTCAGTTTGAAAAAAAAAAAATGCGCGCTATTTAGGAGTACTGTAATAACTCTTGGGACGGCGGTCAAATTTGTAAGGATAAAGGTAATATACAAGAGATAGGGGAAAGGACAAGAACTGGCAAATTAAACTTTAAGTACGATTTTAGCTATTGCTGTCTACACTCAACTAGCAAGGAAAAAGCCCTGATTCTGCTCTGCGGGTTTTCTGTTTTAACTTGACAAAGCAAAACAGACCTTCTGGGATTAACTTTTTCCTTTTCACTAAGTCACAGGCTTTACGTTGTAGGGTGTTGGCCACCTGTTCTTCCACCACCATCTCTACCTCCACCTCCTCCTTTGTGGCCACAGCAATGTCACAGCCCATACATGGGGGAGGGGAGCAGTCAGGAACTCGGCTGCAGATGCATTTTTTCCAAACACAATAACCACAAACAGTGGTCTCTAAGCACTTTCTTAGGCTCTTCCAAAACGTGACCTCTCCTATTACTCATATACCCCCTGCACACTGGAAGGGACCACTATCCGTCGTCCAGTCTGCGCTCGAGGGAGAAGTTTATACCTTCGTCCTAGAGATGCTAGATGCAGCAGAGAAGGCAGTAACCGAGGCAGCAGAGGGCTGGGAAGGGAGGAAGAGGTGTGGGAGCGAAGGGAGAGAGGGAGAGGGAGAGAGAGAGAGAGAGAGAGAGAGAGAGAGAGAGAGAGAGAGAGAGAGAGAATGAGAGAGAGAGAAGGACGACGAGGGGGAGGGGAGATC